AAAAGTATCGGGGCATGTGTCCTCATCCATGGTTTTATTTGGGGATCATTTTGATGATGTGGAAGATATTTATTGAGATTATGTTTGAGAAGTTGAGATTATATTGAACAATTATTTGAAGAAATAATCTGGTATCTGTTGGGTCAGGAAATATTAAATAAAGAATAAATAAAGTGTGGCCCCAAAAGCAGAGAGAAAAACGGAGCCGCCCATAGACAATCCTCACCAAAATCGGATAAAGATAGAAGGTCCGTTAGTGGCTAGCATTTTTGAATAGAAGATAAGCATGACTAAGCATCCATCAAAATTGGAGGAGTGGAGTAGCTTGGCTAACAACTTGTGCAAATGACTCACTGGAAGCATAATATAAAGGAAGGAGCACTATTGTATTCATACACACAGAGCTTCTCTTTGAATTACGAACCTATATTGTTGCTCTTCCAAAGCTATTATAATTGTATTGAGCTTATTATAATAAAACATATTATATTTTATATTCTTAATTCTTACATATTCCCAACATAAGTCCTCCGCAAATCATTAGCTAAAACAGTAATCATATTCTTTTTGCTTTCCACCTTGATTCTAGTACGTAGCCCAATATCTTCCCTTTATTTAATTGATTGTTTGAATTAGCATAGAAATTGCATAAACAGTATCAAATATCAAATCTGGATTATTCAAGATTATTTCCAAATTTCAAGATTCCTCTTTCAACTTTCAAAACATACTCATGTGGTTCCCAACATTAAACCATTTACTGGTTATCTCTTAATTTAGTTTTAGTTTTCATATTTTAACCATCTATCATTTTTTAAAGTAATCATGATTTAAAGTACGTATCACATAAAGTACTAGGTTTCACAGACAAGGATGCCAAAGCAGGGCAGAGAACTTGCGACCGACAAACTTTGGTGATTTCAATGGTAAAACTTGAGGAGCAGTACTGCATATTGACTATGGAGGACGAAGAGGAGGGTCTGACGCTCGAAGATGGGTCAATGGTGCAGATGGAGTATGGTGCAGATGGAGTATGGTTCCAGTGGTCGGATTCTCTTCACCAAAAAAAGAGTTTTGGAAGAGGGATTTGGCTTTCACACATATTGTAGCAGCTCCTCCTCATAAGGAACCACCTCCGTGCCAAGAAGCAATTTGTGGAGAGTTTTTATTTTCGCATTATTTTTCCTTTAGTGCTAGTTGTTTTTGTGGTTTAATTCGAGTAGGTATCGTTAGAGTGTTTTGATTTTTGAAGAATTTTTTATAGACATTGCTTCATTTTTTATCGTTTTAGCCTTAATCTCGCTCTTTATCTATTCCTAGGGCTTATGATCAGATCTGCAACAACTGTCTAAATGTTGTCTTGCATATTTTCTCTATATTAATAAATAGATTTTGTAATAATTTATTCACTAACATCAGTGTATATATGTTATGTAGTGTGATTGAGTGAATATTAAAAAATGTCTGAATATGTGAGTGTGTGCATTTTTTAAACTATATATATGTAGTATATTTACGTACATATGTATGTATGTAAATACTACATTTGTTTGTTTTTACATACGTACATATGCATATAGATATACTGAGTATATTACTTCATCCATTCTTTTTTAATTGAAACAGTCCACTTTTCACGTTTGCCAATGCACAAGTTTGACCATTAATATCTTTCATTCCTTATTAGTAAAAAATCAAAAAAATCAAAAAAAGTATAGTGAGAAGAATTTAACAATATTTTTTAAAATTTAATTTATAGTACACCATATACATTAATAAATAAAATATAGTCAAAGTAGAATATGTGAATAGTACAACAAGTTCAATATTGCAATTAAAAGAGAACGGAAGTAGTATGTAATACGTAATAATGTGTGTGAGTGCAGGCGTTATGGTGTGAAGGTTAAAGATTATGGTTGTGAAGAAGTTGTTAATTTAGAGATTATTAGAGATTGTTTTTGTAACACCCCGACCTCGCAGGATCCAAGGTAGTTACTCCAAACCTCTAGTATTATTCTCACAAACCACCACGAGCTTTTACCACGCACTTTATCCTCACTCATGCGCGCCCTGAGAAACTTCTCAGGGGGTCACTCATCCTAAGACTATTCTCGTGCAAGCACACTTAACTTAAAGTCTTAGAGTTTTTTTATGTGATGAGCTCGCTTAAAAGAAGATGAATCTCTATTGGTATGAGTAGTACTATTAATCATTTTCAAATTAATCTCAAGTATTACGTGGAAGTGTCTTGACAATAATAAAGTATAAATATCTTTAAATTTGGGTAGCATTAATCAAGATACCCTTAAAAAAGAAAATGAAGAGCGGTGTCTTTAGTCGAATATATATATATATATTAGAAAAGAGGCAAACGCCATGAGGCGTTTACCAAAATTTATTACCAGTAGAAGAAAGTACAAAGCGGTGTAGGGGGACCAAACCAAACCTAACCCGCGAGAAAACAAGGCAAAAAATTACAGTCTAATGAAAGAAATTCTTGACAAATCATCTAAAAAGGCCCTTTTGACAGATAAAGGTAGTTCATTTAAGGAGAGAAAGCATTTGAAGGAATCATTCTCTAAATCTAAATGGGCCAGTTGGTGAGCAACCCCATTTGCCTCTTTTAGGGTGTGACAGTAGACAAGTCAAAGGTCAATCGAGGCCTGTTGGAGATGACCCGTCAGCCCAGTCCATCTGTTCTCTTGTGCGCCTTTACGCACCAATGCAATTGCCGCCGTGGAGTCTGATTCAACTTGGAAAGCAGAGTACCCTTGCTCGATACACCAATTGACTGCGGTATGGATCGCCTGAAGTTCAGCATCTAGGACGGAGGACGCATTATGCTCAAAGGACAGCGCTGCAATCAGATTCCCATGGTAATCTCTTAAAACATCCGGAATGCACCTTGGAGGGTTAGGCAAGTCTTTTGGCAAAAGGTTATGTAAGTTCTTAGGTAGGCTAGAACATTTAAAATGATTTAGAAACTTTGTTGTCCAAAATAGAAATAGTCATATTTATGTCCATGATAATTCTAAAAATAACATCAAAATTCTAAAAATCGCCCTATGCGTACGACTAGTTTCCGCCTAGACGCTAGCTGGTATGTGGTCGGGCGTTCCGTTTTTAGTCTTGACGCTTAATTAATTGGTTTGACTCCTAGGTGAATTAGTCGGTCGCCTAGTGCGTCTAGTTGCCACGCCCAGAGCGCTTGATCGGCTGCCTAGAGTGTCTAGATTCGCCAATCAATTTTTTGTTTTCTTTTTTATATTTGTTTTTAGCTAAGAGATATATACACCTTTAACTTTAACAACACATATAAAGAAAAATACTCACTCCGCCCAGTTTGATGGCCCTGTTGCGGTTCACGATGCTTGACCGACGATAAAGCAAACAGATCTCTATCCGCACTCAAATTATTTTTAGAAAAGAAATTACATATTTAGAAACTACAATAAAAGCTTTACAAAGTCACAAAAGCCATAATCAAATTTGATAAACATTTGATATACTCCCTCCGGTCCTAAATAAACTTCACACTTTCCTTTTTGGGTAGGTCCAAAATAAACTCCACACTTCTATTTTTGGCAAGTTTTTAACATAAAGTTACCCCTATACCCTTACTTTATTACCTACTTTACACTCACTTTCTCTCTCCCACTACACTTTATCACCTTTTTGTAGAGGCATGATGGGAAAGTCAAAAGTAAAAATTCCACTTTCTTAAAAACCGTAAAGTCAAACTATGAAGTTTATTTAGGACCGAACGGAGTATTATTTAATACTCCCTTCATTCCTAAAAATACTTCCCGGTTTGACTTGACACGCTTATTAAGAAAGTGAGGTTAAAGTGAAAATGTATGATTGTGATCAAATAAGGAAAAAGTAAATGAATGTAACCACACAAAACATTTCAAAAGAGAAATGAGATTTTTTTGGGAAATCCCAAAATGATAAGTGAAAAGAATTTTGTGTGACGAAGAGAGTAATATTTACTCCGTATTACCTAATGAAGTTAAGCTAGTAGACATAATATATTATTAAATGTGGCAACTGTATCACGTATCTATTTTTTATACACATACATACACAACATTACTAATCATATTTGTGATTTTATTTCTCCGACTAGTCCTCACTTAAGTGTCCGCCTAAGCTAGCCGTCTATGCGATAGGCTGATGCCCGACTATCACCTTTTAAAACATTGAATAACATTAGGGTCATTATTTCAATCAAAATTACTTCGTGTAAACAAAAAAACTATTTCAATTACTTTTTTTATCAATCATTCTAACACATTATTTCATTATTTTCTCATCACCTCCTCAATAATTTTGAAAATAGTACACTATTATAATTAATTTTTCAAAAATACTTTTTGTACACACTATTTTGATGTATACACTTTTACACATGTCAGTGTAGGATTTCTTCTGTCTGTCCCAGACAAATAGTGTGTACAAAAAGAATGGTCCTTACTTTTTTAAATTGATCATTCATTCGAGCACGTTTTTTCATTATCTTCTCATCATACATTCAATAATTTATATTCTCTTTCACTTTTTTTACTCTCACAATCTCACTTACTTTTAAATGGGAACATATAAATGTAGAGCCCGTTTGGTAACACTAAAATTGGTTGAATTGACTGATTCTGCTAAAATTTATGAAGTTGTGGCTGAAGTTGCTGTATTGGCTGATTCTGCTGATTCATAAAAAAATTATATTTAAAATATTTGTTATTAATAAATAAAATAAAAAATTATATGAAAAATAGCTATAATGATCTTCTACAGTAACTTCAGCCAATACAATCGGAAAACTAACTCCAACCTTAGTTTTTCGGTTTTTAAAAAAATGGTCGGTTGTATTTACCCAAAAAAAATGGTCGGTTGTATGGATAAGGTGAAGCGACACGGATCGTCCACGGAAAGAGGGCAACCTAGTCATTTGGTCTGTACATTTCCGCGTAAGCATCTTCTATAAATAATTAATCAAAAATAGGTATATGAGTACCCAATCAGACTTTCCCAATATATCTATATCTTAGAGAGAGAACTAAAAAAGAAATGGCAGGAATCGTTCAGAAGATCGGGGATTTGATTCACCACGACAAGCCGGCGGAAGCCCATAAGGACAGCGACAAGTCGTCGGGAACCCACCATTCCAGCGATCCCGAGGCGGCGCACAAAGACAAGGGACTCGTCGAGAAGATCAAGGACAAGATCCACGGCGGAGGGGAGACGGACTCCCACAGCAAGTCGGCGGAAGCCCACCATTCCGGCGAAGCGGGGTCGAAAGACAAAGGAATCGTCGACAAGATCAAGGACAAGATCCACCACGAAGGAGGCGAGAAACAGGGCAAGGACAAGAAGGACAAGAAAGACAAGAAAAAGAAGAAGGAGAAGAAGTCCGACCACGAGCACGGCGGCGACAGCAGTAGCAGCGACAGCGATTAGACCCGTCCGCCGGCGATGGATCGGAGTTCTTTGGGATTCTGATGAATAAATGAAATGTGTACGGCCGCTGGGATTGTTTTGTAATTCTGTAATTCTATGAGGACATGTGTGTTCACAGTATGTATTCTTCCTTTGACATTATTATTAGCTAATAAAAAAGTTTGCTTTTTACCAATGTTCCCTTTGATAAAAATAAATTACGAGTCATTTTCCTTTTTATTGTTTTTACAATTTTTCTATTTTAGTAACTTCTTATCCTTTTAATTTCTACTGTACCTGTTTTTCATTCTTTTTATTATACTTTCATATTATTACCATTTTTTCTTTCATTCCTTTAACCTTTTCATAAATAATATTATGTACTCTCTTTGTTCTTTTTTAAATGCAACGGTTTACTTTTCACGTTTGGCAACGCACAAGTTTGACCATTAATATCTTTCGTATCTTATTAGTAAAAAAAATAGATTTTGAATCTTTAAAATGAGAAACATTTAATAATATTTTTTATAAATTTAATTTATAATACACTAATAAATAAAATAGAGTCTAAGTAGAACATATAAATAGTGAAAAAGTCCAATTTTACATTTAAAAAAGAACGGAGAGAATATTGTACGTACATCCTTATTTCAGAGAAGTACATTACATTAGATGTAATTTGGCATACGGACAGAAAAAAATAAGAGTTTTAAACCAAAAAATGTCAAGTGTGGAAAAATTGAATACAAAAATAAAATGTGAAATTTAGTTAATAACATAATACTAGCTAGAGTAGGATGAATAAGTTTCTCTCTCTAGGGTTGCCGATCTTCGGTAATGCCTAGCTTGTTTGTCCGGTGGTGATCACTGGCGATCACGACACCGAGGTACTATTTTTCAGTTATTATTGAATTGTTACAGTGCGGCGGATCGCAAATACGGGGCACGACTGGATGCAACTCGACGTGTAGGTCGGTTAGGGGAATCCAAGTGAAGAATTATGAGCATTATATCATGGAATTGTAGGGGTTTAGGCAATCCACCAACCATGCAATGTTTGACAAATTTGGTCCATCATCACTGCCCTTCCCCATTATCTTTCTGATGGAGACAAAACTGCGGTGCCATCGTGCAAAGGAGATTCTACGTTCGCTAGGTTTTGCGAACACTGAGGGAACTGATACGGACGGACAGGGAGGAGGCTTGATGCTGGGATGGAATGAGGATTATGATGTCACAATAATGGAGTCTAACCCTAATTTTGTGGACTGCCATGTATGCAGGCCTGACGGGGGTGCGGCATGGAGATTCACAGGCTTATATGCGTTTCCAGAAACAATAAGGCGCAGGGCGGCGTGGGATATGTTGCAAAGGTTGTCCGGAAATAGTACTATGGCATGGATGGTTATGGGAGATATGAATGACATTCTTTATGATTCAGAGAAAAAGGGGAGAATTCCTCATCCACCATGGCGGCTGAGGGGATTTCGGGAGGCGGTTAACTCAAGTGGGTTGAGAGATTTTCCGTTTGAAGGATATCAATGGATGTGGGAACGTGGCAAAGGGACACCGAATTGGGTGGAAGAAAAATTAGACCGAATTTTGGTCAATGGTCAGTGGTGGGATAATTTCATGGAAGCAAGAGCTACTTTAGTAGAAGCCCTTGTTAGTGATCATATGACGTTATTCATTAAAATCCAACCTACTAATTTCGGTAGGACTGAAAAAAATTCCGGTTCAAGAATAATTGGTTGCATGAGGAGGAATGCAAAACCATTGTCGCGAACAGTTGGAGAGCGGGAGAGGAACTATCTGTGGGCGATCAATTACTAGTATGTGGAAAAGAACTGACAAGGTGGGATGGAAGTAGATCTAAAGGATTCCGGCACGAGATTCAAGCATGCAAAAGAAGAATAACATGGTTGAAAGGTAATGAAGATAATGTTAGTGTTGCTGAGTTCATCAGAGTGCGGCTGGTGTTATACGCTTTATTGGAAAAGGAGAATCAATACTGGAGACAACGGGCTAAAGAGTTCTGACTAAAAGAAGGTCACATTAATTCTCAATTTTTCCATAATGCTGTTAAAGCGCGACGACGGAAAAATAAAATGCTTGGACTAAAGCGAGATGGTGGCGGATGGGTCACCGACCGAAGGGTGCTGGGGGATATGGTTTAGAATTATTTTTCAAATATATTTTTGGAGAGGGCGGGCACCAGGACCGAGGACACATTGGGGCCGATTGGGATAGTGAAACCAGAGCACAATAGGAGGTTGATGAGGCCGATTACTGGTGAGGAAGTCAAAGAAGCGGCGTCTGCTATGCACCCAGAAAAAGCTCCAGGTATGGATGTTATGAATCCGACATTTTTCGAAAAATTATAGGATATTGTAGAACCTGAAGTGGTTGGATTATGCAAGGAGATATTTAATTCTGGGAGATATTGTAGAACTAAATATGAATAATATTGTGCTAATTCTAAAAAAAAGAGAAACCAGAAAGTATGGGGGATTGGAGGCCAATAGCGCTCTGTAATGTTGTGTATAATTTTTTCCCCAAGGTTTTAGCCAATCAGATGAAAGGGCTGTTGGGTTATTTAATAGGGGACAATCAAATCACGTTTATACCGGGGAGGTCGATAGTTGATAATATAGTAGTTGCTTTTGAAACACAACAGTGCCTGAAAAGAAAACAAGGAGGAAAGGAGGGATATGTTGCGTTAAAGCTGGATATGAGTAAGGCCTATGACAGAGTGGACTGGAATTTTCTAAAAGAGATTATGGGAAAGATGGGCTTTGAGGATGGATGGATACGGCTTATAATGGAATGTGTTACATCTGTTAGTTACCTTGTTCAGTTTGATAAAGGGAACTTGGGGCCGATTATTCCAGGAAGAGCATTAAGGCAAGGTGACCCGTTATCACCTTATCTGTTTATATTGGTATCAGAGGGATCGAGCTCTTTACTGAGAAAAGCCGAAAGTAGAGGGGAGTTGCATGGAGTTGCGGTTTGCAGAGGAGCTTCGAAGGTATCACATTTATTTTTTGCTGATGATAGTTTCTTATTTTTTAAAGCAAACCCGGGTGAATGTGATACGGTCAGGAAAATTTTAAACCTGTATGAAGAATTATCAGGACAGGTGGTGAATTTCTCGAAGTCAACTATTAATTTCAGTCCTAACACGGTATACCAGATTAGAGTAATGTGCAGACAGACTCTGGGGATTTTTTCAGATGGAGGTCAGGGGCGGTACTTGGGTTTGTCGTCCATGTTGGGGCAAAATAAAGGGGCAATATTGGGTTATTTAAAGAACTGAATATATGGACTTCAGAGCTGGAACAACCGGTTTCTTTCCCGAGCAGGATGGGCAGTCTTACTCAAGAATGTTGTCCAGCCAATATCCACTTATGCAATGAACGTTTTTCTACTGCCTAAGGATTTATGCGAGGAAATTGAGAAGCTGATGAATGGGTTTTGGTGGAGGGGATTGAAGCTTGATCAGAAAGGGATGATATGGAGGAGCTAGAAGAATTTATGCAAACCAACCGAGGTGGGCGGGCTGAGTTTTAGAAGACTGAGGGAATTCAATCTGGCGATGTTAGCAAAGCAGGGCTGACGGCTGATCAGTGATGGTAGTTTTTTTTTACTCCAGGGGGCGCCTGGGGGGAGGGAGGCTGGGGGAGCCTGAAGTAATCTAGGCTGAAACTCACTCCATTGAGTTTCGAACCCGAGACCTCCCATAAAGGAGTATGAGTCGGCGACCAGCTGCGCTGGACCGCTTCCTCGATGATGGTAGCAGTTTAATGGGGAGAATTATGAAAGCAAGGTATTTTCCCAATTCTGATTTTCTTAATGCTAAATTGGGAAATAACCCTTCTTTTGTGTGGAGGAGCATTTTTGAAAGCCAGGATATTTTGAGAGCTAATACTCGAAGGAGGGTGTAACACCGTCCCCAAATGTATTTATCTTTAAGCTAATAATTTATTGAACCCTATGAAATTTTTAGTGAATTTACGAAGTTGTGAATCTGTATTAATTTTTTCGCGTGAATAGTAAAATGCACGTGGGGCCCACATCGGGAGTGGGGACCGCCCGATATTATCGGGGCCACATATTATATTGATCTTGGACTAGATAATATGTATATGATGGTGGATATCCTAGTTGAGCCATGACAATGGCATAGGGTTGACCGGTTGGTCAAACGGGGCCAAATTATCAGTATCGGCAATCTATCAGATAACAGCCCGAAAAGGGATTTCGGAGACTTCTAAATTAAAGTTGAGGGATGCATATTGATTCTAAGGTCCATTAAGAATTGGGAACAGGTGTTATATTTTATTTGACCCGATAAAATAAAATATACTTAAAACAGTCCGGAAAAATACAACTTTCGGGACCGATTGTACACTTCTGGACAAAAAGGGTTGACCTCCCACATGGGTGGGGGCCAACCCACGATTTTAGCCTCATTATTCAGGGCCTGAGCAGGCTGGTAGGAGAGTTGAGGTGGGAGAGGACTGATTTGAGATGTTTGGCATCAAAACAAATCATGGTGGCCCTCCTCCATTTCACTCAATGCCCAAAAGGAGACAAAGGGGCATTACTACCCATCCCCCTCCTCACTAGTTCGGCCAGCAGCAAGGGAAAGGAGGAAAGAACCTCTACAACTTCATCTCCATAGCCCCAAATCCGAACTCAAGCTCAAGGGAGTCCAAGAAGAAAGTTTAAGAAGGAAAAAGCTAGGAAAAAGTGTGAAAATTAAGGTAATGACCTTATCATAACTTTTCCTTTGTTTTTCTTCTAGCATATAAGATATATATCATATGAAAGACCCTTAGTATTGTTCTACATGATTTAAGTGTGGAATAATGGGTTGGGAAGTGATTCTAAGTCCAAAAACGGACTTAGAAGCCAAATCGACCGGTTTGCCGGAAAATAACCTTTTATAGGTTATTTGTGTTGATATGGGTTTTGTGATGATAAAACATTGTTAGGAACTTGATTTAAAGTATTTTTGAGCTTCGCCGGAGTTTCGTCGGAGTTGGTCAAAGTTCGCCGGAGTTGGTCAAAGTTCGCCGGAATTAGTCAAAGTTCAATCGAGAAGCATAGAACGCGCTTAAGCTTAATTAAGGTGA